GCTACACAGTAATCAAGGAACCCATTGTACTGGTCAAATTGTCCAAAAGATCTGCAAAATCTAACCCACCTTTTAACATTTTCATTGCACCTATCATCCTTAATCCTCAAGATTAGTTGAACACAACACACTAATGGCATAATCCAAACTCAATTGGACAAACTAACCACTGTCTTTGGTCTACGTTGGCCCAAAGCTTTGCCTCACTGTCTTTTTAAATCTAAAATCTACCCATACTGGCAAGGCTCAATTGTCTCCATTCAAAATCATCACTGGGCAGCCTATGAAACTAACTGAGGGCCACTTGCCCCCGACTTTGTTATAAGGAGAACTCTCCAGTACTGTAAGGGACTTGTGCAAATATATATGAAAAGGCCAAATTTGTTAAAGATTCACTTTACAGAGTGCTCCCAGGAGACAAAGAAAATACTCATGACCTTAAGCCTGGAGATCTAGTATACTTGAAGAGACATCAACTTTAAGATTCTTTACAGCCAAAATAGAAAGGACCTTATCAGGTATTGCCAACCAACTCATGCACAGCAAAGCTACAAGGAGCTGACTCATAGATTCACATTTCTCATTTAAAAAGGGCTTTGGAGGTCCCTCAGGAAGTTGAAAATAGAGCTACCCTACAACCCAGCAATTGCACTACTGGGTATTTACCCCAAAGATACAAATATAGTGATCTTAAGGGGCATGTGCACCCATAGCAGCAATGTCCACAATAGCCAAACTATGGAAAGAGCCTAGATGTCCACCAACAGATGAATGGATAAAGAAAATGTGGTATATATACACAATGGAATATTATGCAGCCATCAAAAAAAAAACCCCACGAAATCTTGCCATTTGCAACGATGTGGATGGAACTTAGAAGGTATTATGCTAAGAGAAATAAGTTAATCAGAGAAAGACAATTATCATATGATCTCACTGATATGAGGAATTTGAGAAACAAGACTGAGGATCATAGGGGAAGGGAGGGAAAATGAAACACGATAAAACCAGAGAGGGAGACAAACCATAAGAGACTCTTAATCTCAGGAAACAAACTGAGAGTTGCTGGAGTGGAGGGGGGTGGGAGGGATGGGAGGGTTGGGTGATGGACACTGGGGAGGGTATGTGCTATGGTGAACGCTGTGAATTGTATAAGACTGACGAATCACAGACCCTTACCCCTGAAACAAATAATACATTATATGTTAAGAAAAATAAATAAAAACAAAGAAAGAAAGAAAAGGGTTTCAGATCCAAAAATGGCTGGAGAGTCACCCCCATTTTAAAGGATATCACAAGACCCAGAATTGAAGCAGACAATATCCAATGAAGTAGCTGATACTCAAAATCCAGGCCCAAGCCAGAACCCTACTTTTACTTTAATTCTTATTTTTTCCCTTTTGTCCCATTTTCACCACCATTCTATTTCCCCCACCCAAGACTGGCTTGAAGTCATTTATGACCTCTGGCTGCCTCCTTGGTTTGAGTTCTTAAATGGAGACTTCCCTAATGACCCTCAGGCTTTCGTAAGACTTGATACTCTATAGTCCCTACTCTTTGTTCTCAACTCCTATACAAATTCAAGATGAAAAACCAGTAAATAATATTCTTATTACTACGTTCTATCAAAGATGGAACGTTCTCTGATTGGAATACTAACTCCATTGTTAAGCTGTCCCAAACCATAGCCCAGGGGATCCCCCTAAAAAATTGCTGGGTATGTCATAACCCACATACATTCCAACCAAATACAAAATACTCCCTCTTAACTCCCCTCAGTTCAGTAAGATTGCCCCACAGATTAAGATCATTAAGATCATGCACAATGCCTCTGGTCAAATATAATTGCTCCTCCTCAATCCCTCAAAGGTGCCCTAACCCAATTTTCTTTAGCCTCCTTTCCTTGTTTTGAAGCTACTCCTGTCCACAATTTCTCTTCTTGCATAAGATATGTCCTGGGACCTAGTCTGGTTTCTACAGATGTAAATCTCACTTTTGCATTAGCTGATCACTATAATCTATCAATTGCAATCATTCATATACCCTAATGCTACTGTCCTCTGCCAGGTCATCAAGAACAGAAGACAAATGATGAAATTTCCTATCAATACTTAGGTCCAATGAGTTCCTGGGGAATGATATATAGAAAGCCCCATCAAAGGAGTATTTATAAGAGGTTTTGCTATGATCAAACTAAACCCAAATTCTATCTTTTTTTTTTTAAGACTTATTTATTTGAGAGAGAGAGTGGGGGGGGTCAGGGACAGAGGGAGAGGGAAAGAGAGAATCCTAAGCAGGCTCCATGCCCAGCACAGAACCTAATTCGGGGGGCTCTATCTCAGGACTCTGAGATCACAACCAGAGCTGAAACCAAGAGTCAGATGCTTAAGCAACTGAGCTACCCAGGTGCCCCCCAGATTCCATTCTTACTGTGATCTCAATAAACCTTATGGTACAGGACCCCCATCTTCCCTCCGTACCAACTCTTCCTTTCCCATCATCAATAGCACCACTCTGAATGATAAAACAAGAGCAACTGAATCCTGGTGAGCTTCTGAAGGGTATATACTTATCAGTAGCAGCCCTCTTAATTATCTTTCCTATATGGGCAACATTTATGGAAGAATAACTAACCAAACCTTAGCCTTCAAATGCGTTAACAATGCCTGGGTCACTGGACAACGTACCCTAGGATTCATATAACACAATCTGTCTATCCTACCCATAAACTCCACTGCCTCTCATAGAACCCAAAGGGCTTAAGGTATAATAATTATTAGAATTGGTCTGGCCATAGGCATGTTGGCCCCTTGGGGAAGATTTGCTTATCATAAAGCCACCCTGTGTAATCGAACTAACGTTCTAGAGGAATTATCTCACAATACTGCTTCAGCCCTACAAAACTTACAATTATCCTTGGACTCCCTTGCTTCAGTAGTCCTAGACAATCAAATTGCACTCGAGTACGGGCTGGTAGAACAAGGGGGTGTCTGTGCTCTTGCTAATATTTCTTGTTGCACCTGGATAAATACTTCCTCCAAAGTAGAATTAGAAATTTAAAAAAAATTTTCATACAGGCCTCTTGTTTCACAATATCAACAATCCCACCTTCAGTGAAATTTGGAATCATATTAAAAGTTATCTACCATCATCCAATCTCTTTAGTTGGTCTCCTGACAAAATAGGAAACATCCTCCAATCGGGAATACAATACTGTATTAATTTTGGGATTAAGCATCTGGTTGCTATACAAAATACTTTTTGCTTGTTTCCAGAAGTGCCTCTCTTCCTCCTCTTCCGCTCCCAAGTTAATTATGACCGAAGCTTCTGTGTCTACTGCTCTAACCCTATGCCCTTCTGCCCCCTATGGAAAGATGGGATGGAGCCCAAGCAGCAGGCAAGCACTTGGGCAACAAGGGACTCTACCATAATGAGTTTGCCCACCACAACTGATCATGGCAATGTTTCATACATCAATGATCAAAAAGAGGAAATGAGGAAAAGGGGCGAAGGAAAGGTTGACAATTCTGACTCCACCTTGCAACTGCCATGGTTTTGTGGAGTTCAGAAAAGCACAGCCATTTCCTGGAATTGAGATCATTATCTTGAGGTGTAGACACCTGGAAAATTTCCCCCGACCCACAATCCTGAGCAAAAGTCATCAACTAATCACTGAGCAAATCATACCAACTGAAATTTCTCCCTCGCTGTGGTTTTAAGTTTTAATAACACCACCTCCTCTCACCCTTTCTGGACAAGCACATCGACTCAGTTGGGTTGTCCTTCTCAGTTTGTAACCCTAAATAAAGATTTGTCTCCTTTTTCTTCACGCAAAGGCTCACTTCTGAAATTTTTCTTGAACAGCAAACATTTTTTCTACTTTAGTACATTTTCCTTTAACTTATTGAAACAACCACCGTAGCTTCTGTGTCCGTGTAGCAGGTGGCGGGGTGCAAGATGCCCACATGTAGCATTGATTCTCCATTTAAGAAAGTATCATTTTGGGGTTTGTTTTTGTTTCCTTAACTAAGAGCAAACGGGTCAAGCTCTCTGTTTTTTTGATAAACTATCTTTGTTCCTTTAGCCTTCTCATTCTTTCATCCCTTTCTTCTGCCTCATGACATTCTACCAGCAAACTGATATTAGAAAAAAAAATGGCCAAATTGTAATTAGGAAGAGGTTTACATGAGTGTTGTCTCTGGCGGCTATTATCTGTCATGAAGTTACTAACCACATTCAAATTTACCTCTCACCATTTTTGTATATTGTAAATACAGGTAATAGCACATAAATTAGAATCTGTGGATATTTTAGACGGTATAGTAATGAATGACTGTTTTCAATGTCTGGGGATGCTTGGTTATGAAAAAATAGGCACAACTAGGTTAAAAATAGAAACAAAATTGAAGAAAAAAAAAACCTGCCTATTTGCTCGGGTATAAGAATCCATAATATATTACCAAGACAGGCTCTGTCTGGACTCTGAAAAATATCAAGAATGGTTACAACAACCAATTTTTTCCTGAAATATATTCCTGCCTAGAAGCATAGGGAGCAAGAAAATGACTATTCACCATCCATTTTTGCATGATGATTTTATGACAAGATACATTCTTTAATTCTGGAGCTCAAATATACATTTACAACAAGCCCTCAAGCTTTTCTTCTATTTCAAAAATAATGAAAAGTTCATATAAAAAGTCCCATATGTTAGGCAACTGAAAATATTCTCTGAAATGGCATAGAATAGCTTTATCTACAACTATTATTGACACAATAATGTCTTTTCTCTTGGTAAAGAAAAGTTGCAATTTTCCCCAAAAGTAATAGCTCTTTGTCTTTAAGTTTATCTCCTTAAGTCTGTAACAAAAAAGCAAAAGGTCTGCCATCAAACTATAATAAAGTTGATCATTTCAGCTGCCTATTACCTAGTGGTAGCACTTGCTAGACACATTGAAAGAAATGTTTAAGCAAGAAAACAGTTTCAGAGAATGACTTACCCTCCTTTAATATAATCAAGGAATGAAACTTCTGTTTCTACTAAAAAAGAGAGTAAGGTTACCTGAAAAAGAAAAGAAAAACAAGGTAGAATTACCTACTAGTACTAATTGCAACCCCAAATGGACTTTATCCTAAGTATTAGAAAGGAACTCATATTTCATATCAGAGAGGAACATCACATTTTAAAAATCAGTAACAACATTATTCTTTATTAAAATCTGCCAGGACTGATTGTTCTTACATTTTAAAATGATCAGAATGAAAGGGGCCAACAAAATTAACTAACTCCTTTCTATGACCAGTATACTTCCTTTGAAGAATAGCATGAAAATTGTCCACAAGGACACTGTGTTACTTCCCATTTTAGATAAAAGGAAAGATGAAAGGAGCTGAAAAATGGGTAAAACTAAAAAATCAGAATCAGTGAGTTAAGCCTTATAAGAGGAAATGTGTGTTTTTCTCATGGTCCTGTAATGAGGCTATCTAATATTTTAAGTGTCTTGCAGTATAGAAATCTTTAAAAGGAAACTTGGAGAGACCTTAGATTTTGCTTCTCCTAAGAAAATGTAATCTTACAATAAAATCTTCAGTATAATATAGAAGGAATGTCACAGAGATGAAAAGTACAGCATAGGTAATACAGTCAACAATATCGTAATAACATTGTATGGTGACATCTGGTGACTGCACTTATTGTGGTGAAGGCAGAGTAATGTACAGAATTGTTAAATCAATATGTTGTACACTTGAAACTGTAACATTGTGTGTTAGTTACACTCCAATATAAAAAAAGGTACACCTGAATTCTCAAAAAAAAAAAAAAAAAAGGAATAGGATGATTTTAATTTCAAGATACTTTCATCTTTGTACCTTCGTGTACTGATTTAGCCCAGCATCCTACAAGTTGTAAATTTTAACACACTATGAACAAGTACTTTCACATGCCATCAGTTTTAATAGTTAAGTGTAGCCTGTAAAGAGTACAGTATTTCTTACTAACAAACTTTTTCATACCTACTTGATTCTCTCTAGCGTGATTCCACTGAACGAGGATTTCATAAGAAAACTTCAGCTTCCCTCAGAGGCCATACAATCCTGAGGACAACCTGCAGGAAGCTGGGTGACTACTTTTTATAAGGTATTCTCCATTACAACCATCCCCACAGCAAGTTCAGCTTTCTAGTATACACCTTCATACTAAAATCCTAAGTCAAAGAGCCTAGTCTTTAGTTCTAGTCTGTGTAAATGTTACACATTTTTTATTCGTTTATTTGACTCCTTAGTGAATAACATAACATTTGACTTACTGTTCCCGAATTAGTATATTTTTTCTTTTTTCCTTTCTTTTTGGGATTCACCACCTTGAAAAGCAGATAAAACAATTACACTGTGTTAGGTTTTATATGGAAATTTTTACAAAATGTGTAGTTCAAATGGCTGCCTTCACCCGATGCCTTTATTCATTTACAAATGCCTTTGGTATGACTCCTGGACAGTCCTTCAGCCAAAACTTCTCTACAAAATTTACTGGTGACCATCTTCTTTGTGTGTGTGTGTGACCATCTTTTTTAAAAATGTATTTTTTCAATAATATTCTTCTCAATCACTTTATGCACTGATTATCCTCATTCATCTGTATCTTCTTGATGTGAGAGAGACTTTAACATCCTAGGTCCTAAATAATAATGATTGCTTTGTAGTAAACTATAAATAGCTAAAGAAAAGTATAGGCAAGATACACAACTTTTTTGCTATTAGGTTAAAAACACTAACATAGCAAATCACCCAAATATGTGCATGCGTAAGGGCTCTGTTACTCTATTGCTGTCAGGGGTAGTAATTTCCACCAGATACTGAGGCTATGTACTAATTAGTAAAGGTCTGGTTTCTGTACCGAGTATTTAATTTTTGACCATTTATTCCATGAGGAAATATTACTGCACTCCTACATTGTACAAGACACTGAAGAATCCAGGGGATGTAAAAATGAGTAAGACCTGTCAATCTAATAGGATAAATAAAACACGTAAGTGCCTTAACAGAAAATCCTTCAGCACATCCCAATCCAAAACACACATGGAAGCATTTAGACAGGCAAAGAAAGTTAAAAGAATTTATGATAAGTATTATTTGAACTAAACTTTATTAATTTAAACTAAGGCTACAATAAAAAGGGATGGACATAACAGTCTAGAAAGAGGAAAAAGTAACTGGCCCAGGTGGCTGGAGCAGACAGCAAATACATACTATTTCAATGAATCCGAAGGACCGCAGGTACATGGAGCCAGCAGGAGATACTCCTGTCTGCATGCCTGGGGATCCTGAAAGCTGTTTGCAAGCTTAGAGATCCCACAAGGGCCCTATACTCTGCTCCAGCCCACCAACAGTCTTATGGGTCCAGGGTCCCAGGAGGAAACGGTCCTGTGGACAACCATCTAGATTCTAAAAGGGCCCGATACTTAGTTCCAGCTCCTTCTCGCCATAATTTGTGAGCAATCCTGCTGGCATAAGGACCCACCAAGAGATACTCATTCTGTACCTCAGGAGATCATGAAATAGCCTTACATTTATTTGGTCCCAGCCCCTCCAACCATGGTTAGGAAGCAATCTAGCCCACCCAGGGACCTAGTGGGGGACATGGCCATCTGCACCTCCAGAACAAGTACAGACCGAAGTTTTAACTATGGTACCTGAAACAGCCATGGGACTCAGTGGCTGACCCTCTTAGGTATGGTCCAGAGACAGTCCTGCCTACTTAGGGACCCATCCAGTGATCAGAGGGGAGTCCTCCAAGAGACCTGGCAGGAGCCACACACACCTTCACACTTAGTAAGAGGCCATCTGACTGAGGACCCAGCTGTGCATCCTGAAAAGGAACCCTGGTTCAGTGCCAACCGACTGAATAAAGTCTTGGAGCCAGTCTCATCCACCCAGGGGCCAGACAGAATCCATGTCCACTCCAGCTGTTGGCAACAAGCATCCCCAACCACGGATGCTACTACAGACCTAATAGCCTCAGAAGCAGCTCCAATCCAGCATGACTGCAGTTCTGGAGGTAATCCCATCAGCTCAGCAACTGACAGGAGAAGGTCTTTATCTGCCCAACCAGTCTATAAAGCCCTACGGTTTTTAAAAGCTCGGTTATAGTGCTGGAGATCTAGAAGCCCAAGGGTAGGCAGAGAAAAAACAGGTACCTCTACAAGTACAACCTGTCTTATATTACTTTCATTGCCTGTTTAGAGCCTTAATATTCCTTCCTTGGAAGACAGAATATTAAGACAGAAAAATTGATCCATTACTCCATCTTTGTCATTGCCTGGGAAGTTCGATCTGTAATATCTCACACTCTACTAAGTAAAATACTATATGTAGCTGTTATCAAGACAAACTAAACATATTTCATGCGTTTGTCTCCCATTAGAAATGGAATTTTTTTTTTTTTTTTGAGAGAGAGAGAGAATCTTAAGCAGGCTCCAGTCTAGTGCAGAGCCCCATATGGGGCTTAATCCCACAACCCTGAGATCGTGACCTGAGCTGAAATCAAGAGTCGGATGCTTAACCAACTGAGCCACCCAGGTGTCCCTAGACACTGAAAATTTTAATCATCTCTGTATCCCCAGGGCCTTAACAGAGAATGTGGAATGTAAAAGCCATGTAATAAATATTTTATTTCTAGATGAATGAATGAATGAGTGAATGAATGGAATGCTACTGCTTTAGCTTAGTAAGAAGATGCTAGAAGAAGGAAAGTGTTCCACTAGTAACTTAACCAACTGAGCCACCCAGGCGCCCTCCACTAGTAACTTAAAAGAGGTCAATGTTAGTGTCAACCTGGCAGGGAAAGAGTTACCATTATTGACTGATACTGAGATATTCTCCTTTGCTATTGATGTTTGTTAAATAAAAAAATTAAAGAGAATGTACAGGTAACATAGCTCAAGTATTAACACTGCCAGACATACCATGTACTCAACACATATCTGGTAGTTAACTGGCAAGGTAGGTTTAAGGCAGAAAGAGCTACTGTGCTTGCTTTAATAACTTGGATTTCTTTAATGACTGAATTATACTTTGTCATTCCCTTCGATCTTCAACTAAACAACAGTGAAGGTGCTCAAACCTAAGTTCATTTTATAACACCAAGTTGACATAATGAAAATGCACATTTTTCTCTTTTTATTAAAAAGTGTTGGGGAGGAGGTCGGTAGGAAGGCAAAACATAAAGGGTGAGGTTTATGGAAAAAAATTTTTTAAATAGGTGAGAATTTTTTAATTTCTCAAAATAGAGTTAAAAGACCATGGGACTTGAAGAGAAATATATCATTCAATCTCAGAAACAAGTCTGTTCAATAAGTTTGAAGATTCTTACATATATTGGTAGTTGGTTAACCTTTGCCAATTACCCTTTGCAAAAATCTATACTTTTAAAGCATAAATTTACTTCTTCCAGAGGAAAATAATAATAAAATAAAATTCCTCTTACCTCATAGACATTGAATTGCGATTGTCCTCTAGAAAGTTCCCTATAGCTTGTGGTAAATTCTCCAATGAAATCATGACTACATTTAAGAGAAGAAATATATAGTATTAGCTTTCATACATTTGTCAATTATACTTTAAAGTTTTCTACAAATATATAGTTTAATCATGAAAAAATAGTTAATATTACTACGAGCATAACTTAATAACTTATATTTTAAGAGACCATACATAACTTCATTATTCTTTAATCCCAAATTATGTACACTCAAAATATATTTTATTAGTATTCAAATTATATTTCATTTATCCCACCAATATTAATATTTCAAACAGGTATTTTAGTTCTAATAACTCAAAAACATTTCATCATCTATGCTACCAAAATGATTTATTAGGATGAAAGTTTAAGACAATCAAAAACTTATTATTTATATAAATAATTACAAATATATAAAATTCTTCAAACTTTCTTATGACCAAGATGTAATAGGACATTATTTTTTAAGAGTATCCCATGTTAACATGTATAATAGTCACCAAGCTTTATTTTTAATAAAAATAGCTTCAAAGTACATTGTTAATATCAACATGGTTATTCAGAGTTTCTTCACCTTAAAGTAATTGTCATTGCCTTCTCAGGAAGAAGACCTTCTACAGGTGCCTACTCAGTTTAGATGGGAGGGGATAAGGAGCATGCATTAGTCCTCACTATAAAATGCTTGTCAATGTGATTACTAAAGCTTACCTAAGGAAGCTTACAGAGGAAGAAGATAAAGAAGATAAAGATTGTAGGAATTCAAGTGGTAAACACACCATAAGGGATGACACTGCTATTTATATCATAGAATTTAAGCTTGGCCCATTCACTTTGCAAATGCAAGGTGTTCATTACCATTAAATATACATATTTCCCCAACCCCCAGGTAGGTTTAAATGCTTAGTTGTGAAGATCTGATGACCAGAGACAAGCAACAAACAAGTTGCTATCTAGCCAACCAAAATATTGATTTCTAAAGATGGAATTTGGAAGAAAAACTGAGCTGCCATTAGTATCAGTAGAGATTTTGCAAGAAGAAATGTTTTTATAACATTATTTAAAATACAGTTCACTTAGATTTCCAGCCTCCCAGTTCTCCATTATCTCAAAGATCTTGTACCTACATCATAATATTCTAAGTGCCTCCTTATACCAGTATCACCTTGACCTCTTCCAGATTTAACCCCCAGAAGCAGATCTACACACATGAAAATGTGAAAGGAAAGGGGACTGAAAATAGTGGTAAATATATTTGTATTTATGAACCCAATCCCCTAGGACTCACTCATTGAAGTTACATGGGGAAAATCATAAAATAGTACTTTAGCGCTACATGTTTCTACTAAGTGAAATAATTTTCTTTGACCTTCAGAAGCCCAAGCTCATAATCATGGTATCTTTCACTGCGATCTTAAAAACTGAGTTTTGGAGATTATGTTTAAAATCTATCCACTTCCATTGCTGTGTTTGTTTCAAATATCTTAAGTAACAGTCATGGAAATAAAATGTTCTATTTAAGCACTTCAGGCACAATGCTTTGGTAATGGTAGTGTGGGCAAGCCTTATGTAACAGAGCTCACCACACTAGTGGTGGGAACTTAATATAGAGGGCTTAAATAAAACCTTGGATCACCTAAGCCCTTACGGTAGTTTTCTGACTATGCAAATCCTCATTTGGTTAATTGTTTCAATTCAATGTTCAGCTATTACTATTAACATTAAATTCCCACCACTCAACACTAATCAAATACTTGGTAGAGAAAAACAATATTACTGGTCTCAAGTAAATAGAATTACTCAGTCAAGTTGCAAGAACATGTAATAACCATCCAGATAATGTAAGTCCAGCAGAGTGGCAAATCTGGACCCACCGGCAATGGTCAGGTTTATCATACGGCACATTGATGCGCCCCTGTTGAAGTCATTATGGAACTCTCTAAGAAGCAATTCTCTGATATTTGGTTCTGTTTTGTTTTGGTAAATTTGTTACTCTCTACAGAATTGAGTGATGAACAATGAGGTACAATTCTCTCTGGTCTCAATGCTGTGAGTCTGAGCTTCTGTGCTTCCCACTGGTTTTTCCTCTTCTGAAAGGGCCCTGTTTATCATGAAATGGAGATTTTTTTTTTTCCCCTCTGAGCTAGTTGTTAGAGAGGGCTGATGGCCAAATCTATGGCCTATTTCTTGCAGGATATGTCTTCATGACATGATGTCCTCTGCAGACTTTTCAGATATCTTATTCTCATTTCCCCTTTCCTTCAATTTCTGATCCAGTTTATAGTTCACCATGTCTTATTACATGTGTTTCTATAAATTATCTTGGATTCTTTCCAGAATGAGACAGGATATAAATAAATTAAAGAATGAATAGAATACTTGCTCCTCCCCTTCTGAATCTTGTCTAAGGTTATTATTTTTAAAAAAACACTGAATTTGCATGTCATATAAATACAATGCTATCCTGTGTTATAGAGGAGAAAATGTATTGAGTCACAAATTCCACTTCAGTCTCCAAGACAACATTTCTGTGAGATAAAGAAAACACATCTTTGTATCTATTCAGAGCCAGAGAAATGGATGATCACGAAGTGAGGATCTGTCAAAAGTTCATCAGCATAACGCAGTTAAGAGGAGGTAGTGATAAACTTGTCAACCCTAGATACAAGGTGTTTGTCTCCAGAATAAACCTGAAGAATTTGGGTGGATAAGTGGATTGATTCCCAGGTCAATTTTGTCATAGATCTCTTGGAATACATGGAAATTTTTATAGTTTCCTTTGTAACCTCTCCAACTTCAAAAACTGTTTAGTAAACCATAGATAAATACTTTAAAGAAAGTATTAAATGTAATTTTCACAGGTTTATAGTTATCTTTTTCCCCCATCATCAACTACTCCTAGATTTTACTGATATTAAAAGAAGGAAAATTTAATTTGCCCTAATATTTTTATCTGTTCCTGATTTTCAGTACTATAATATTGAAACAATTATCACTATACAGAGAGATATGATGGAAAGACTTTCATAATAAATCACAACCAACAGGGCGCCTGGGTGGCTCAGTTGGTTAAGCGACTGCCTTCGGCTCAGGTCATGATCCTGGAGTCCTGGGATCGAGTCCCGCATCGGGCTCCCTGCTCGGCAGGGAGTCTGCTTCTCCCTCTGACCCTCCTCCCTCTCATGCTCTCTGTTTCTCATTCTCTCTCTCTCTCAAATTAATAAATAAAATCTTTAAAAAAAAAAATCACAACCAACAATTTCCTTGTGATTCAATAATACTGCTTTGCTATTTCCTGTTAATTTAATTGCAACTAAAATAATTATTCTGTTATGTCTCTCTGACTGCATTTATAAAATAAAGTCTACTCCAGGGCTGTTTATCTGATTTGTGTCTGTTTATATCTCTAATTTGTTCTCCATACTTTTTATAATGGATATATGCTACTGAGGAAAAAAATTAAAGAGATATTTAAAGCAAATTGATTACTACTATATATCTAGTAGTCTGGCTCTAAAAGCCTTGTTTGCGGAAAGTGATTAAACTGTTAAATAAAATCTGTATATTACGATCATTTGTATGCTCTATTAATAGTGACAAAATGGATATGACATATATTCACATTGATATTTGAAACCTCTAGGACAGTCCTTACTTAACAAATGTGTCTACCCCCTCTTCCATTTTTGGCTCCTTCTTTCTCAGCATCACCAACTCTTATAGCCTAACTATTATGTCCTCCAAGAAGCCTTTCCTGCTTCATGCTGCTCCCTTTGCTCTTAAAGAAGCCAGTATCTCTCTACCATCACAAATCCTGTATTGTATTATACCTGTTGTTTACTTAGTTCCCCTCCCAGCCTTCATCATACTTGAAGGTAAGAAAGGTGATAAACTCATCTCCATGTTTTTGGCATCTACCTCATTGCCTGGTACATAATGGGCACAATTGAAAGTTGGAAATAGATTCAAGTTAATATCAGTCATTCTGTGACCTTATCTTGCCAGTAATATTAACAAATTTGTCTCAGATTATATTCAGTCTAAAAGAATTGCACGAGTGCCATTCACATTAACCACCGTTACCCTCTCCACCTCCTTAAAACAACTCTAAGAGTAATGCAAACAACTGTTCTTTTTCCATGGAAGTGCAAACACACTATCACACCAAAGGCATAGAAAAGAGAGGCAGGCAATATTGCCTTTTGCTGGAATTTCTGATGATCCTGAAGGCCACCCTGCCTTGGGGATAATGGATGATTCTTACTTTCTTGACTGTCATTAAACTAGTTTTGCACATAACGTATACAAATGACATGTATGTACTGAACTCTCGTCTCATCCCTTTCTCCATCACCAAGTGATCTGGAGTAAGTCAGCCAACTTCGGGGTCCTAATGTCTTCACTTAAAAATTGGAGGCAATGCCTACTTACTGTTTTGAAAATAAACTCAGAGAATTCTTTGATTCTTTCTGTGAAAGGTATTTAACTGCCTGAAAAAGACACTATTAAACTATATTTTTCCAATTATTAAGAATATGATTCTAGATATATATAATTTTAAGAAACCTTTAATCAAAATTATTTGTGAGGATGTAACAGGCTTATGAATGAATATACACTGTGTTGTGGTATTTTGGAGTTAACATACATACCCATGGCTTGTCCTGCTCTTGTGTAATTCCTCTCCTTTAGAATACACCAGTGTGCCCTGTTTCAGGTGTGTGCTGAAGGATCTCTCAACCAAGGATTTGTAAACAGATTGTGTATTAAAGACAATTTCTCTAGGATGTTGAAAATACCTTGGCTCAAAAGTTGGCATGATCTTTCCCACGGAAACAACAGCCCCAGATATCACCGTCTCCTTCATTTGTAAGCAACATACTGATTACCCATATTCCTCTATCTTGTCTAATCTGGGCCACTCCTGGCAAGCATAGCAATGTATTTTAAAATAGCTAGAGATTCAGCAGTCACAGAAATGAGAGACACTTTTAACTGAAGTACAGTTATGGTGACCCTAATTCAACTCATTGGTTGCAAACA